TTGGTGGTTTCAGTGACAGCTGTCGCCACGTCACTTCGTGCACACCTCCCCGAGTTAACAGAGATTTCATTTCTCTGTATATCGTCTCACCAACCTATACAATTTCCGCGTTGTATCTCATTTCGACTACGTCATATTTACCATGCTACCGACGATACCTCTGTTCTAATCAGTTCATTGATTTCTCGGCATTCAGCCAATGTAATTCGACGTACGCGATGACTCATCCATAAATTTCACTCCACATAAATTCGCCATTACACTTATAGCAAAATCTTCCCCGCGGTTGGTAGTGTGCTAAGTACCTTAACTATCGCCTTGGTTTTGGTGCGCAGCTAACTCCGATTGCATTGGATACTGCTCACATACTTCAGCACAAAAATAGCCTGAAGTGCTGCCACTTCAGTGGTCTTATTCACGAATTCGCCTATTGATTACACACACACCCGCGGTTTCGGAATCAGCCAATCAGGTGTGGCGCGGTACTTTCGAGTGCACCGCACGATGACAATTATGAAACGCACAGTAAGGAACTAACAGGCCTGAGAAGTCAGCTGCTGCATTAACGTCTTTTGTGTAGCCGCGTGTGTGACTTATCCAATGTCTGCCAAAACCTCACGCTTTCAACGTTGGAAAGATCGTTTTAAATGTGAGTTGGTCGCTTCCTTTCATAACCCAATCATATTCAAGAGTCATGCATGTTTTTCCAACTCCATTTTTTTTAATTGGAGCTTACGGCGTCTTATTTCAATTTATCTGCGTTCACATCTATAAGATATGCTGATATATTTCTAACTTCTACTGTTTATGTTCACTTTCCATAGAGTTTAATCCAGATCTGTTACAAATTATGTGGAGAGTTTAGTGTGACATCGTCAGCCAATCACGCGGTGGCATGATCACCTTAAATGTTCCGGCATTTGGGACATTTTAAGACGGTTGAAGACGCCATGTTTTTCGGTTCTGCTGAGTGCCTCCCTGTCCTATCACTTGGGAGCAGTATTTATACAGAAAAGAATAAGATTTTTCTCCAAAAAATGATCTAGTAAGAAGCTTGACGGATACGTAGACATTTTGTGGATCCCCGCTACTCGAAAAATTCATCCTTGCGTGTCTTTTCCAAGTCGTGCTTCCGAACCAGGGGAATCCCAGTTAGATCGATGCCGTGGTTGTTACCTCGAAATTTGTTTGTGTCTGCTCAAGGTCGTTGGCGCGCTCTTCAAAAGTAAAACACAACTCACCTCTAATTGGGAAGAATTTTGTCATCACACAAGGCATTCATTCACCTAACACTCAATCAGCACATGAGGTCGAGCTCTTTGGCACGAGTGCGTGGATTTCAGGACAGTTTTCTTTGAACAAAATCGAGGGCCAATTCAAACTAAATACTTGACGTGATGAGTAATGGTCGAACGCCTATTGGCTGACATCAGTGTCACACATCGCGACGACGACAAATTCCATACCAATGATTCCAAATGCCTTTATTAGACCAATATCTGCGTCGCTCAGTGACGATGTGGATTTTGTGTAGACCTCGTCATTAGATTGATCTTGTCTAGACTGTCTGGTGAGTGGCACCTATCTTCAATACGGAATTTGCTGCTTCCACGAGGTCCAATTTTCACAAGAACCAAGTTGAGCCTCAAGGTCACTAACCTCAACAAGACATGGATCACGTGACGTGGCAATGTTAAGCCAATTTTATTGGGTAACTAACCCGTTCCAAATAAGACCATTTGTAGGAGCGCGTATCCTTTGAATGTAAAGCTATCAACTAAGAGTAGAATAGATGTCTTCATAAATTTAACAACTCTAAATGGTATGATTATATATATTGATTTCTCTTGACGGGACACCAAGCCTCTTTGTTTAAATTGACCAGTGTGGCAATTTAACGTGACCTTGAGTTAATTCCCAATGGCGGGTCCTTTATGCACCAGCGTTGGGCGTTTTTTAGTGAAGGCGATTGGCTGAAATTCGAGGCGTTAGTTGTGCTCTGGCTGCCCTCTTCGTCATCCCTTTCAACTCCGTTGCCATGGCGATCAGTGTGGGCTCACTGATACGGTATAATCCCGTTACCGATTCCCAGACATATGGCCTGGCGCATGATAACATTTAATGGGTTTCGTGGGAACCAATATGACTTGGAATTCGCTTTGCATCCACCGTTTGAAACACAAAATGAAGATGCTGAAAGCGCGTCTGTTAACTGGTACAACGCAGATTTCGTGTAGTCGTCAAAGTCGGCTGCATTTTCGCTTCTCGAATGAGTGAGCATGGAAGGCGACCGCCTGAGGCCGTGGACGAAGCAGAAACTAGCAGAACGCGATGGCGAAAATGCCAGCCAATTTTCGATCGAAGCGGACCAACGCAAAGCTATTGCTGAAACACCACTAGCTTACCGGAAGACAATCTGATTCGATCCACGAACCTCTGATTGTTGTCCAGACCTGTAGAACGACCATTTTTACGAACAATTCGAAGAAGACATTGACGAAACAGATTTTCATTGGTGCATTGAACAAAGCATCAATGCGGTGGTACCAGGCACAAAACTGATCGTACTGCGCCGACCTCAAAGATGCTGAAAATCTCCTCAACGCGCAAGTTAAACTTCTACAGAGTTTGCATTCCAATGACCTTGGAGACGTCGTGTCGGCGTCTTTGCTCACTGGTTTTGAATCGTGGCTTTCGAAAAATCTCAAACGCCGAAGCATTAAACCACTGGCCTGTCATCTCCAGTCACGCGGTTAGTTTCGGTTTCAAGTACCGAAAGTAGTGGAAGCATCACGAAATTGGAGAATAGTGCCCTGCTGTATACATCAGAAATCAGTCTGTCCTTCAACTGGTGTATTCAGGGTGACCCAAATGCTACCAAAACGCTCTTTATTGCCAAATTGAGACAAATTTTATTACCATTTAACGATGTCGTATCCTCGTCCTTATCGCGTTGATAGTTGGTTGTGCTATTTTGGAATAACACGCGACTGGTGTTAGTGCTCCATATGACCAGACAAGTTTTGATCTAGTCAGTAGGCTAGACAGATTGCTGCGTCATGGCACCTATCACGGTTGCCACGGCAACCTTGATGACACCCAATCCAGTGGGGTGTCTGGCGGTGATTGAAGGTGAGGTCGCAGTCGCGTCTTGAACTTGTCTCACTCGCACCGCACTCAGCCTCCTCTTTAGCCCCATCCTGGTGTCTAGGGGTGTCCTTTCCGCCTTCTTCTCACTCGACAGTCATTGGTTTGCGAGGGTTTCTGGAGTGCTTTTTCATGAATTTACACTTAAATGGTTTGTACTCGAACACTTTTTGTCCTAAATTTGCATTATTCTATGCAATTCTGCTACCAGTTCAGTAGGATGCTGCAGCATGTTGTCGTTAAAAAATCCAGAAAAAGCGAGAAGTCTGTGTTTCGTGGCAGTTTTGACAAACACCGACACTTCTTCACTTTATTAGCCACTTTTAATAGTCAATGGCATGCTTTTGCACCAAAAGGTTTCATTTTTCTTTGGGTTTAAGCAAATTTTTCGCCAGCTGAAACGCGGTCCAAGCTTTCATAAACACCACAAAATTGACCTCCAACACACCACCAGCTGAAATTGCCTCAGGGCCTTTCCGTAGAGTCTTAAGACGCAGCTACCCAAATCGATCGTGGATTTTCCTCTCAAAGCATCAGAATTGATCCTCTTCGATCACTTGGTTTAAGAAGTAGCCAATCAACGAATTAGGGTGGTTGAAAGAGTATACTTTATGTCGCTAAATTCCGTCTCCGCTTTCCTCTCTGCAGTTGGCAAAATCAGCTTTTCTGAGGAGTCAAAAACGCCAGCTGAGGAGTTGAAACCCCAGCCGAACGGCTCTCCGGAGACCAAACCACCCCCCACCAAAGACTCCACGCCTCCCCCCGTCGTCCCAACACCGCCACAACGGCCAAAGGAACCCGCTGAAGTCGAAGGTTCGTTGTCGAGTTGTGATGTGTTAGCGCACTAGTCTTTGTTGCGGTAGTGTTCTTTTAATCAAACCAACCATGTCCACTCTCAAACGCTGACTTTCCGAGTCTATGACGTGTTCGTCGTTCCACGTCGCTGTCCACCACAGCGGACCCTACTTGTCACTTAATAACAGACTGATGATGCGGACAATCTACATCGACACGACCCGACCGGGGAACGAGAAAGAGGTACAGGTAGCTCGTAGCTCAACTCAATTACTGATGCAGTAGAGGGGTGTGTTGTGTACAAGGTAACACTTCAGTTTGCATAACCTTTCTATACGTCGACCTCTGAACGAACGTGGTTACGCGTAGCGCATTCACGTAAGTCAATTGCTGTGTTCGCTTGCTGCTCGCAGCAATATCAAACGACTCGAGGAAGCTTACAGCAGTCTTTCCTGTTTCAGGGAAAAAAACGAAAATTCTCACAATTAAATCCGAGGCTGGTTTTTGCCAAGTTGCTAGGGCTACTGCTTCACTGGCGCCAAGGTCAACGGTGCAAATGCGCCAGATTCCAGAAACCTGATTGGTTGAAATGACGTTTGATTCGCTAATTCGATTAGGCTTCAAATGAATCTGGCATGTGAGATTAGCGCTAGTGCGGCTACACACGCTGAAGACTCCGCATGTGGGGCATAACTCATGGAACCGCGCACACGTTACGCATGTCAAAGTGTTTATGAGTTTGCTCAGTTGGATATCTTGAGTGGGTGTTGTGTACTCATGCTAGGAGTGGTCCTGGTTAATCTACCTTCACTACTGCCAACAAACTCTTCGTTCTGAATTCTCATTGGTTAAGTTAGAGGCGGAGTGTTTAAATTGAACAGGTGTATCTTGTCATGGTAATTTTATCGATTGGCCAACTGCAGCAGAAGGCAAACGATGTACCTCGAATACGGTTAGATCATTCCATGCCTCCGACACAGGTTTCCCCCTTTTCGCAGCGTGTCGCCAGCCGCGCGGATCCTTAACTCCCCCGTCAGTCGCATGGATATTTATCTTGGATTTTCCTCACACCTAGGTCTCGATGTTAGCGCATGTATGACTCACACATCCGAGGTATAAATACCCACGACACGGCGACACCGACGTGGTTGAGCTCTGAAGTAAACGGCTGTGTCCACGCCCTCTTTGATCTTTTTCTTCATCGCGGGTATTGGGGAAATGTAATCGGTCCAGGGTCAATTCCGTGGCCCCGGCGTGGTTCAAGACTGCAAGCTAGGGCCCACAACATCATTAAATGCCTTGACGTTTAATTTGCGCCAATCAGAAGTCATCAAATGACTTTGATGATAGGTTAGTGGTTATTGTTGTTATTTTTAGGCGAGAAACCAAGGTTGACGACCAAATTTATCCAAGGTCAGTCAATCTCTTGACAAGGCACGCCCTTGTGTCTGACTTAACCTGCCTTACCCTAAACCTCTCTAGATTAATCCTTAATCCATTAACACAACCAAAAGACAAGAGTCTTATGTAGCATTTTCCGTCTTCTCAAGAATTCACCACTGTTGTTACCCGAATGACTTGCCTGAAAATGCCTAATCCATGTGCTTCTGAGCATTCAAAGCCAGCATTCAACCAATCACAGTGGATTATGGGCTGCTCCACTCGTACTTAACCATGAAATGATCGCGAGATTGTCTAGAGAGGGAGCGAGATATCACTTTATCGATTTAGACGGTATACCGATGGTTGTTGTGTCTGAGAGCTCATGAGGTTGATGGAGTGAAGGCGTGGGTCTGAACTAACACCCAACCTCCCCTGCACGCTCATTACGCGCCACACCATTAACAACACATGACGCTTGCAATCTTTTTTGAATGACGCACAACAATGAGCAGATCTTGTGGGGTCCCTTCAAACGACATTTTACCAAGCCTTGAGTGGATCTCTGGTGAATTCAACAGCAACCAGGATCTTTTTGAGTAGCTGGCATCACTAAGATGTAGATTTGATTGGACAATTTCCATCATTCGACTGTTCTGGTGTTCCTTCATGCTCCACTTCCTAATTGACGGTTGTGTGGACGCGTCGTGCGTTAAAACATTGGGTATTAAAACGGTTTGTTTAAATAAACTCGTGTGCGAGGTTGATTTTGAATGGGAACATGAAAAGTTACATCGCCGTTTTGTAATGTTACATGAATTTGCGAAGAGAGTGAGGGTTTGAAATGCAGCTAAAATCTTCAAAACGGTAGTATTTGGAGCGTGGTTCTGTTGATTTCAATGTGGGAGCTGGTTATCAGATAGCAGCTTAGATAATAATGATAATGTCATTTCTGATCGTGACTTTTGCCGTAATTTGGTGCCTGATATCCGCGATAAAGACACAACCGCTTACTTTAGAGCTCAACCACGTTGGTGTCGTTGTGTCGTGGGTATTTATACCTCGGATGTGTGAGTCATACATGCGCTAACATCGAGACCTAGGTGTGAGGAAAATCCAAGATAAATATCCATGTGAATGAGGGGGGAGTTGAGGATCCGCGCCAGAAGGGAACCCCGTGTCGGAGGTGGAGCGACCGGACTAAGGGGCGTGAATAAACACGATTCCCGACAAGTGGATTTCCATCAAAGAAATTGATGAGGCGCTAAATGGTGCCATTTGAAGCAACTTAGATGCACTTCGAGACTCACTGAATGTGTTCTACAAACTGGACCGTGTTTCTGTCCCAATTTCTTGGTTTTTGTGGTGATGACAAATGGTTTGCGTAGGACGACTTGGTAGGATCAAGAAGCAGGAAGTATGGAAGGAAAGAAACACAGTCTGCGACGAAGTCTGAATTTCCGCAATCAATCGACGTGTGGTTATGAGACCGGTGGAGAGATTGTGGGACAACCTTCTTGTGCTGGCTTTTTCTGATTTTGGTCAGCTCATTTAAATCAATGTGGAAATCAAACTTGGTCAATCGAAAATGCCGCATTTTCCTGACCTTGCTCTGTCAGAATTTCATCTCTCCCGTCATTTGCCAAATAATTTATTCAAGAACCGCGTAACCAATAGTAAAAGTCAAGGCTTTACTGAAAAATCACGCAAATTTATGTAAAAAAATCTTAAAAACTTTGAAAGACCACATGGTGACCACTCAGTATTGTGATAGCACAGAAATGCCATCTAATTTGACGATTTTTTGTGCGTTTTTGAAAACTCTTGGCTAGGAAAAAGGTCGTGACCAATTGACGTGGACCGTCAAGCACCTCACAACACCCCTAACTCCTTTGTTTTTCCCCAAGCAGCCGACCTTGGCACTAACGACACCAGCGGGGACCTGGATACTCCTTTGGAGATGCCTTCCACGCAAAACGCCCCACCTCCATCTCCGCCAACACCTTCGTCGTCGTCTTCCTCTTCCTCATCCTCCTCTTCCACAACCGCCACCTCATCCTCGTCGACTAGTGAGTCCGTGGAAGAGGAGGAGAAGCCGACTCCAGACGGCAAAAAAGCCGCCATTGTTCCAGACCCTGACGATACCCCGTGGCTGTCCCTCTCTAACACCGCGGAGAGCACCAAAACAGCCACCCCCTCCCCCGCCTCCCCATCTCAGGTGAAGCAGTCGGAACATGTGGACAAAAACGACGAGGAAAATTCATCGACGTCCATCTCAGATTCGAGTACGTTCCCAATTTTTGCACTCCGTGATGGCGGATCGTAGACATCGCTAGTTACTCAAAGTTAGAGCTACTGACGCGAGCTAAGTACAACAAAGTAGGACGCCTTTATCTAAGCTTCTGTAATGTGCAAAGCTTATTTTGACGTGATTACCAAGAACTGCATATACCAACCAATCATCTTCTTTATTGTCAAAACTCGTTTCGATTTTGCTGCTTCCTGACTAGTCGGAAGAGCTGATGTCGAGACCCCAGATTCTCCGGTCCCTGATTACGACGAGACGTTTTGGCTGTCGATATCGCCGAAAAAGGAGGAAGTCGAGAAGCTTGCGTCTACATCAACACCTCCACCGCCTCCTTCAAGATCAAGACGGTCGCGTTCTCCGAGGTCGCCCAACACGAAGGAGTCGCCAGCTGACGATCTGGCATCTCTGGACGCTCCGTCGGAGGCTGGTGAGTTTAAAACCAGTTTCAATCAAAGAACTTCAAGTTGTTTGCTGAGTTCAACTGTTTTTGACGGGTCGAAAAATTGAGCTACACAATATCACACAAAATCCAGCTCCCCCAACCACACAAAAATGCAAAACTCTAACTTTATTGGGTCACATGTTGTTTCCAAAGACGATATTCGATTTGATTCCACGTGGATGCCAACTGTGTCAAATAACCAGTAAAAACTGCGCCCCATGATCCTGTAGGCAATAACTAGCACGATCGATTATCGGAAACTGATTAATGTGTCAGCTCTGAGCGAACTGCTCGTAAATTCTATGATCCCAGGCACAAGCAAAGCGAGTTACTGCGGCTACAATCCCTCTTGCGTAAGCTCCGCACTATCGACAGTCTAACAAGGAAGTTTTCGATTGTTTATCTACGTAACATGCGCACTTTTTTGTATGTACTTGTCTTGTAATTTTCTCGAAAACGCCATGGTTTATTCAACCTAAGCTTGCACGTGGCGTACTGACGTGTGATGGGGTTGAGGGTTAATTAATTCTAGCTGGCGAAAACACGACCAGCGTTGAACGAGAGGCATTCGCTTCTACGACGGTTTAACGACTGATCGACAGCCCCACTTTGTCCAAGTCAATAACACGTATAAATTCTCTGATTGGTTCAAATGTCACTGATAAAATGCAAGGTCCACAACCAGTCTATAAAGCTGTGGTGTTTTTTGCAGACAGCAACATCTCTGACCTGCGCTTCCCTGAAATCGGCCCCGTGCTAAATCAAAACTGCCTCGCGACGTTGACGGTGTCTGTGTTGCGAAGACGGGAGAGTTGTGTGGAGTTGTCCGACTACTCCCCGCGTCGCCAGAAAGCGAAGACGGACGGGAACAAGGGGGAGAAGGAAGCATCTCCAGAGAAGAGGGCTGGTGATGATGAAAATGTCAGCGACTACAGCGACTCCTCCGACACATCCAACTCGATTTCGTTGTCGTCAGACGACGACGACGACAGCAGTGACAGCGAGGACACCAGCGATGAAAACGACGATGACGAGGAAGAAGAGGACGACGAAGAAGAAGAAAAAGCGGCGGAGGATCGACGTGTTGTCGCCATGGAGCGCCGACGATCGCTTGGCGAACGCGATCCCTTCACCGAAGTCTCTGAAGAAGGGTGTCTGGATGAGGTCATCATCGATACCTCTTCGTCGCCTGAAGTCTCTTCAAAGAGGTACGACACCATGTCGATGTCGTCTGTCCATCATCCTGAAACAGTTGTAGTTTTGGTATTTTCACCTGATAGCCTTCTTCGTGAGCACCTGATCTTTCCATCCGATTTTCATGATAGAATGACCTCTTTATGTGTTGGCTGAGGTCAAATAAAGGAATTCTGACTAAACAAGCCTACTTTTATGCTCATTGTAGCCCGACACATCAACCATTTGACCTGGAACTTGTCAAAACCGAAACACAGCAGACCGGGGAACGTGTTGCAAATGATAGTGAAGTGAGGCACTTTTTCCCTGAGAATCGTCGTTCTACTTCAACCACCCAATCAAAGGCTTCAGGGTCTTCAGCGGAAAGGGGTCTTGAAGTTCCTGAAACCTCCGTGGCCCCTAAGAATAGTTCCTCGCCTCTTGATCGTCGAAACCTTTCGTCCGACAAGTGGACGTCGATGAAGGGCCTAAACAAAGTCCCAGACGACGCGGATAATCGACTTTTGCGGTCCGAGTCACTGCCGTCCATCATCTCCCCGAAGGTGATGGACGAAGAGGAGGAGGAGGAGCGTGACGGTGAAAAGGCCTGGAATGGTGGGGTTCCCGAAATCGAGTCTCGTCCTCCACCGATTCCTCCCCCCAAACCTCGAATCCCCCTGAGAAAGAAGAAGAGTGTGGTGAAGTCGCCGGAGGTCACTCCGAATGACGCCAACACTTCAGACCGACACCAGCCCACGCCGTCGACGACGACAAGACCCACGACGTTCACGTCGAGCGCGCGACTGGATCTCGCGGCGTCCTCAAGGCCCCCCGGCACACTGCAGTCGCCTGTCCAGCCGGTGAATGTGACGAGCACTGTTGTCCTCAAGGACTCACCGTCGTCGCCACCCCCAGATGGCATTGGGGCTTCCAGTCCTGGCAAGAACTATCTCCTACCCCGGGTTCCTGTCCAAACAATGCCAAGACAGGTTAGCCTAGAGATTTTTCTGCGAATTTTTGTGGTATAAAAACAGGAAATGTGCTTCATCGTTTCCTCATAGGTGACGTACGAATGCTGCCATAAACGGAACTTGCAGGCTTTGAGGCAGAAAAAGTTATCATAGACGAATTTACGCACATTGTTTAGCGTTTCACGAGATGCTCATCCACATGGGTGTGATGCTGCATTGACCGGAGTAAATGGTTATCGGAAGGGGGGCCAAGTCTGGTGAATTTGCCATGTGGGTGGGGAGAACTTCCCATCCCAAGTTCAAGTGAGTCTTCTGAGTCGTAACGCGAAGCGGTCGAAAGTTGTCATGCAGCAGCAGCAGCATCAGCAGTATGACTTGCCTGTTTCCTTGCTCAGTAAAAGGCTTTTTCTGATCAAGTTCGTAGGTCGGTTTGTTCAGTTGTGGGCTGTAGCGTTCCGCAGTCACCATCTGACGACCAGTTCCCAGACGTTCGTTGTAAAGTACACCCCTAATAACCCCCCACCAACAGACACGCAGTAGAACCCTCTTCAAGTGGATGTCCTGTTTCGGCGTCGATGTACTGGGTTGCCCTGGATCTACCCACGACACCCTGGGTACATTTCGGATTCTCGTAATAAACACACTTCTCACCGTTCGTCACAATTTTCCACAAGAACTTCAGTCACTGCTTGAATGGCATGTGTTCATGCGTTGACGTGGGTTGTGTTTGGTCAACACATGTAGGGGGACCCAAGTTCCGCGTTTCGCATTTTTTCCCACTTGGTGGTGCAAACGCTTGGAAATACCCACTTGGGTGACCTCCGACTGAGCTGCAAGCTCTTGTCGCGTTTTCGTTAAGTCTTCATCCACTAGAGCTAGCAATTCAGCATCTTCACACTTTTGAGGCTGCTGTCCGGGGTGTGGCTGGCCACCAACATTGAAATCTCCACTTCTAAAACCCGCGTACCACCGATAACACGTTTCGTAGGATACAAGGTTGACACCAAGAACACTACAAATTGATTCTCGCGCGATTTTGTAGCATTTTTTGCGTTGGAATTCGTATAAACTGCAGTGTCATCGAATGTGCTGTTTACCAGTTGCTATTGAGAGAGGTTATGTAACTCATGTAGACTTGTGGCTCGGTGTTCTGAAACTGATAGGGGCCCCAGCATGTGGTCTTGAACCACGCCGGAGCCACGGAAGTAACCCTGGCCCGATTACGCTTGTCTGATACCCGCGATGAAGGAAAAAGACCGGAGAGGACGTGGACACAAGCGTTTACTTCAGAGGTCAACCACGTTGGTGTCGTTGTGTCGTGTGTGGGGTTTGCGCGTGTGTATTTATACCTCGGATGTGTGGGTCATACATGCGCTAGGTGTGAGGATAATCCAAGATAGGTTTTCGTGTGAATGAAGGGGGAGTTGAGGATCCACGTGGCTGTCGACATGCTGCGAAAAGGTAACCCTCTGTAGGAGGTGGAGCGACAGGATTAAGGGGTTGAATAAGCACGATTCACGACATAACTTTGTGTCCGATCCTTTCATGACCACAACAGACCTCGAAAATGCCTCATACACCTAGTAAACGCTCCACGCTGTTGATTAATACTCCCTAACCATGTTGAACACAATGCCATCCGATTCCAGACAAGCAGCTACAACATCATCCTGGCGGGTTCAAAGGACGTTCCACAGGAGGAGCACCGAGTTCTGTCGCCGCAGACAGTGCAGACGGCTGTCCAGTCGTCGTCGTCGTCCTCGACTGTGCCACGGCCGAAGACGCTGAAACTCACTCCGGAGTCGACTCGTCACGGAAGAAGGCACCACGACCACCGCGACGCCGAGCCACCCCCTGCCGCCTCCGCCATGTCGCCCACCGCTTGGCCCAACGCCGTCCGTTCACCAGGTGAGGCCAGCCCTCCACCTCCCTCCTCCTCCTCCACCCCTTGTACCCCCTGTTCCTCAGTTTTGGTCCACAATTCACTGATTCAATGCTGAACCTGATTGCCCTGTTTGCTGTGTCGCATTCCTGCAGAACGCACAATGTGTGGTTCGTGTTTACTTGGCTCCAAAGGCACTTCTATGCAGCCACACAAGTTGATTTGTGTAAATATAACATCTAGGGGTGCCTTGGCAGAAGTCCAAATGACTCACTATGCATCCACTTCACTCCATCGACTGCTGCTTGCCTGAGAGTGTGGCTATCTTATACTACTGAATTTTGAAATGAATTGTCTGTTTCTAGCGAAACGCCGTCCAAGCGACAGTCAGGATGGTCAGAGGAACAGCAAACGCTACGTCTACCCCGATGGCGTGGTATTCCACACCGGCAATCCGCATTCCAACGGCTCCACTTCTCGCCAGGAAGCCCTCACTCCAAAGACCAGCCACTCGAGAAAGCCCCAGACAGATGGCGTCGCGACCTCGCCATCGAAATCCAGGGTAAGGCCGTCTTTGCCTCCTCACTACGCTTTGAAAAGACTTGTTGAATGTTGTTTCAAGTACCGTCCATGACGCAACTTGTTCTGCCACACTCTGTGGGACTAATTTGGGGCTTCTCTCACCCCACCTTATCTATTATTTCCCTGATTTAGACAATGCCTGGGTCTCCGTACCACCACCATCACCACCAACAGCGAGACGGGGGTGGTGACGTCTACGACACATCCACGCACCGCCGCACTTCCCACACGTCGCGGAATCAACCAGCTCGAGCGCGGTCTCTCCACGAAATCCAGTTACACCCTCAGTCTCCCCCCAGCGCATCGGCACACCGATCCAACGGCTTCTACACGTCGAACGGCAAAGGCCAGTTGTTGGTAGTTTTAGTAATCGAGATTTGTTGAGGCTGTAGATCTTGGAAGCCCTCCGTAGTGGAAGAAGTGTGCGAGTGCCCTTCTGTGAAGGACGTGGAGCAGTGCCTACACAAACCACAGCTGATACAAAAATCGATAATCTCGAGTCTGAGTATCACTCATCAGCGTGGGCAAACTGTCCTACATTTTCCCGTGTGGCAATCGATTTTCCGATGCAGTAATCGATTTTTCACGACTATTAGTTAAGAGAGTCTTCACTACAGGCGATTTTGATTCCAGGTTCGAAAAAAATCTGGAACTGCTAATTGAACCACCGAGAAATATTGGGTGTCGTAAAACTCTCGTGTAGACTCCTAACACACGACGTTTTACTATGAAAATGCAGCAAATTTTATCGGTCTACTGATGATGCGGCTCTGGCGTTGTTTTGATCATTTCCCGGTGATTTTGCACAGAATTGGCAGCCCCAGCCAATCAGCTTCCGGGACAAGTTCCATTGGCTGCTTTCCGATTGGTTGCTTTAAATTGGGCATTTAACCGGACCTAATTGGAAAGATAATTGTCTTATTACCCCTGACCTTCCTCCAATTTCCCTTCCAGGTAATAGCAAGACCCTTGGCCGCAAAACCAAAAAGGTAAGGCGTTGCTATGGCAACCGCATCCCGTTTATTGGTCTGGCAAGAAAGTATTTTCGGTTTTTAGTTTCAGTGTGAAATATAAGCAATTTTTAATTACAATTCTCCCGATAGCGTTTCACGTGTTGTCAAACCTATCAGGCGTGTTTTCTCGCTTTGGTGGACCTCAATTTCATGCACGTTTTACTAATTCTCGATTTTTTGCCTGATAAACTTTCATTGGTTCTTGGCAGCAACCAAAGCAGTTGATAATTTGATTGGTAGTAAGCAGCTTTAAGCAAATAATGGCAATGACAGAATTACGTCAACATTTAGTTATCGATTGTGATAACCGAGGTTTCCCTATTGCCAGCCCACAAGCCCACCTGCGCAAATCAGTATAAAAACGTTTTGTCTACTCATATGTTTTGAGTAACACGTTTATAATTTTGTAGGGAGAGGAGAATGGTTATGTCCACACTCGTACGGGATCGCGAACTCGAATAAGCACCAGCCTTGAAGTCATCGAGGCTGATGAATATGATCGCAGGTCAGAGAAGACGTGGGCTAAGCTAACTCCATCAGATAAGGTAAACATCCGCTTCTACCAACAACTCCTCCTTCTTAAAAAAAAGATTTGCAAGAAAAGGGAGTGCACAAGTTACCGGTCTTTTTTATTTCTGCAGGCCCAAATTCGAGAAGAACTCAACCAGTATAAGTCAAAGGAAATGGAAGTCCATGCGGATAGTCGCCAATACACCAGGTACTCAACATTAGTCTTTTCTGTATAAATGTGTCTACTTATATAATTTTCAGTAGAAGTTTCATTTCACACATTGTGCATCACGTGATGCCTAAGATTTTGATTCTCATCCTCACAACTATTTCTCCTGATTTTTGTAGATTTCATCGATGATATTGTCGCCGCCTCGTGCCCAAACTGGGCGTCATTTTGGACTCACCGTGTATCTTTCAGATTATCTTAATCGAAGCTGAAATTTGTTGCTGATGATGATGATGCTGATGTTGCTCATTCTCGTGTTGCTTATTTCCGCACTTTCGGCCAAAACGCGCGTGTCCAGGGCGCAGAGGACGCATTTCTCTGCACCGCAATATTGTAGGCCACGCCAGATGACTTTCCTACCGCTGCCGCCACCACCACCTCCACCACCACCACCACCACCACTATTTTCTTTCCTTTTGTATTATAAAACACAGATCTCTCTTTCGACTCGCTTTCTCTCTGTGGTAACTAGGTGTATGTTCGAGTTTGGGACCTACTTCCAGAAACGCACCAATCACAGGTCTGCCTCATCACGTGGCTTATTCCCATTGGACACTCATTGTCAAGGTCGTGTACTTCCCGTCTGTGTAGATGTGGTTTGAGAAAGTCCTCTTGATCAAGTGAACCATGAACCAAATTGTGCACGCGACAGTCACGTGTTTTGGGCACAAATTCTGTAAACTTACGCGTCGGATTTGTCGCACGCAGCTGCGAATCTTCTGTTAGTTAGCGCAGTCACGTTCGGATCATGCTTGTGTCACTTGATTCGACGGATCGAATCCAATTTAAGCTGTCATTTTAAGCTGCGCAAGAGCCATTTTTCATGAAGTAAACCTTCTTCTTTGAAATACAAGGAGTCGTTGAAGCAGGTCGTAAAATTAGTGGATCAGAAACTGGATCCTCAGCGAATACAAGATCTGAATCACGATGAGTAGTCGTAAGACGTTAAACAGAGTAATTGAGTCGTCGAAGTTGAGAGCAGGTGGCTGGTAGTTGTCTCCATGGATGTCCCTGGAAACATCTCCAGGGAGATTTGCTGGAATAGCTGGTCTGGATCCACCGACATAGAACTTCAACGAGGAAATGAAAAATGGGCCATAGACAAGTGGCTTGAAAAACCCTTGAAAAAGATAAGGTGAAGATCGACACCACACAGAACCATTCCATGTGGAATTCGTTTGTTGAAGGGCAGGAATGCCACATAGAGACGCTGTAACCTGTGCGTCGATGGCTCGTTGACGAGGTTTTGAAACCAACTCAGTTAACACCCTCCGCCACTGAATTCATAACTCCCGGTACTGGAGCCAGTTTACTGAAACAAAAATCAACACACCACCACCTCGCAACACACCTACCGTCAATTCACAACCTCGGTGGTTTAAAGTCGAGTCTCAAACCATCACGAAGGCAGCGTGGCTTGAGCTGTCAACTGTCTGCAGCAAGTGGCTGGTTTCGTACACATTCTGCGACCTGGCTGCATCGAGTTCGGTTTCCATGGCAATGTGAACGAAGCGTGACCTTGGCAGCATGCTTTTCATTGGTCCCAAACAGAGAAGGCAGACTGGAAAACGAGGCGCACATTTCATGCCTCCATATTGCACTTCTCACCAGGCTTCGTGGGCTGGGATTGAAGTCCTTCAAAGATGTCGCTGATTGGACTGAAATGACGACTTGGCATACACACACACACACACACCGACACCTCCGACTCCAGTGGGCAGAGCAGATGAGAAGCCACAGGCTCGTAATCCACCAATCCACGCAGGGAATGCCAACACAGTGGCGTCTGTTGAAGCCCGCACACCACGCAGACGTCGCAGCTGAATTGTCTGGTTCGCCCACACTCCTAAGTTTGTCCATTTATCAACCACGACGATGACCTCACCCATCACTCTCCATTCGCACACACACACACACACGCACGTGGAAATAGACCTCCAACATTCCAGGTCGTGTGCGATCTCGATGTCTGGCGTGTTCCATCACGCAATACTGACGCTTCAAGGGACCAGCGAAAATGACGAGCTTCTGTGGGCTTTTTTAACTCTTGTCTCCACGATGTGGATGCAGTTCTGCTGTTTCGACGCCTAATTTATCCACTTGGGAAACCTGTATTTCCAAAGCCCGTAATCCAACAATCCATGTCGTGGAGACCAATCCAGTGGCGTCTTCCGAAATCTGCATTGACCCAAGCCTCAACAACTCCACTTTCTCGTCACTGACAGACCATTTCATTCACTCCACAGCACACTTTCTTCAAAAAAGACGTTTTTCTTTGAAAAAAGGAATGGTGAATCCCTGTTGACTGCAGGTTTGCGTGGAACACCTTCTTCCTAAGATCTGATCCAGCCTAGTGGGATGGGAAAAACCAGGCGAAATCAGACGAAAGAGGACACAATTTAATCGATTTCACATGCAATTACGAACACCACATTCGTGGGCGGTCAAGTTGTTACGTCAGAATGCACTCTGGTGAGTGCGGTGTATTTAAACGATCCGAACGCAGGGAAAATTGTTTCGTGTAATTCAACTAGGGTTGGCAAAGTAGTATTTTCCGTCAACTAAAACTAGATCATGTGATGTCTGATTGACAGGAATGCGGTCGTTGTGATGCTTTTGCCTAGTCGCCGTTTGATAGACGTCACTATGGCCTTGCGTTGGAAACAAATTACGGGCAATTTCTACTTCCACGGGGATGTTTTGCCTTAATATCGACCAATGACGTTTTGGTTAACTTACTGAACTTGTCGATGATTGGTTCAAGGTCACAGATGAGTTGCGTCGTGGTCTTTCGAGAGATTTTAAAGTGTTCCACACATTCAACTTCAATAAGTTTGATACTAGGGTTCTACCAGAATTGAAGGAAGTGTGCTTGAATGTAGCCAGTCAATTTTTACGATGTGCTTCTCAAACGCAGTGAAATCTTGCCTCTATCTCCTGAAACGAAAAATCCCTGGTGACGAATGCGTACCATCTTCCACGGCATCAGTTGAAGTAAACGACTGTAAGCTGGGCGGCGGTGTCGATTTGGCGGGCTTTTAGGTGATTTCAGGGGAACAAACCTAGATTCTCGAGCTTCAAATTGCAGTGAAGACTTCTTCCGTTGAAATTCCCATGAACACACCCAAACCGCGACCTTCCGTCCGCGTACCCTCATGTTCGTGCACATTACCGGTCCATCACAATTGTGCCAGGATTCTGCCTGGAAGGAGGTACCACGATGAGACCCGTCGTTACTCTGCACCATCTCATTCTGGAGGTCATGTTGAAGCAGGCATCACGCATTAATTTACTCGACAGCGTGCAATCACGATTAGGCAGTTAAGAAGCCAAATTACAATGACCTCCTTCGAGCAATTAAAACTATCTGACGAAGGGATTTCACGGCATGGCTTTTTGGCTGAGCGGGCGTGTGCGGATAGCGTTAATCCCCCCTCCCCGAAATGGGCTTCAAACCCCCAGCCTACCCCCCCTCCCCCACCCCAAATGCCGACTTGATGCCGTCCACTCGGCCTCCAGACAGGTATTTATGGACTCTGTTGAAGTTTTCGCACCTGCGATTTAGATTTTGGTTTTGGGGTGTGCGTGTCCCCCTTTTTCCCCATCCCCAAGTGCCGATTATGAGCATTAGTCACGGGGAGGGTGTGATTCTGTCTAGGTGGGAAATCAGGGCGCATTTTATCGCTTTGCGGCGATTCGACTGGGCATGGGATACTTGACCATCGCTCTTCATCTGGACCGGGAGGTTGGAAGCGACTGTATGGAAAATTCGACGTGCTCTGATCCGAGTTTGAAGTACAAACGTTCGTCGACTGTGTCCCCATCGCTGTCGCGAACTCGTTTGAAGCACCCAAGACACTCGCATAACCCCGTTGCGGCCGGGAGACGCATTTTGTTTACTCCTGGCGGGTGGGAGGGGGGGCTAAGATGGGACAGGTTGACGCTCCAGGTCCTTGGGGAGGCTGCAGACAGAGCCTGGACCACCCCGAAGTTAAGCGATGTGATGACAGTGATGTCTGTCATTGTTCGCGCTATCGAAAAGTTCCCTTTTTAATGGTGGGCTGTCTGGAATAGGCTCTGCAGACGCAGAATGGCCTTGAATAAGTGGGCGTGCGTATATATGGGTTTGAGGAATTCCTGCTTTAGGAGTGCAGGCCCTATTTGTCCTCGAGAAACACGAAGTTCAACCTTTTTTCAATTCTGGTAGAACCCTAGTATCAAACTTATTGAAGTTGAATGTGTGGAACACTTTAAAATCTCTCGAAAGACCACG